TCGCAAATTGGAGCTTCTATGGCCGGCTGGATCTTCTCTGGTATACTATTCCTTTATTTCGGCCAATTTCTACTATTTTTCCAGCGATCCGCGGAGCCTGGTAGAGGCTAAGGACCTACAGGATTGTACACGTCATGTACATATATGTGGCACTCATGTGGAGCAGGTTGACTGGTCAATCATATTCATTCCTGCCATGTCAGATCTCCATGACTCATTTGTATCTTAGTTTGAAGACAATGTTCTTTCATAATCCTGGAAAATACAGTCTAGAAAAACTGCAGGAATACACACAGAACTACAATAATAAAGTGATATTAATAAACTGTGTATAAACCGCCATCAACCTAGAAGCAAGTTTAATGTTAATCTTTTAAACTTCATTGGGAAATTACTTTCAGTCTGGTCTGAAGGCTTAGGCCATTAGCCCAGCCTGTTCATTCTGACACACCAAGGATGTGTGTATAATGTCCTTGGACACACCGACGGGGCTGTTTAACACACCGACAGGGCTGTTTAACCCCGTCGGGGTAAAATTTGAGCCCAGACTTCTCATGAATTATCACACAAACTTGCTAATTACACAGGTGTGAAGATGTGAATTCTCATTAATTCAGTGGTTTTCATGGAGTGTTCATGAGGATAATTGGATGCGGTCTGGGTGCGGGGTGGCTTTTCACCCCGACGGGGTAGAGTTTACTACTGACCGGGGTGGCTTGTACACCGACGGGATTGCAATTTTTAAAGTGAAATATCTTGACATATATGTATGTTTTGACCATAAAAAAATAACCTGGTACTGAGGATAACATGATCTTTCAAATGGTATGTAAAAATTTACTGTAGCTGCAGAAATGGCAAAGTTGAAAATCAGGGATTTCAACATGGCCGTCTGCAAATTCGGAAAAGTGACATTCCAAAATTGAAGTGACCAGTGTTTCATTATAAAACATTGATAAGTGCACTTTGAAATTTTTATGTAGACTTGAATTAATCTTAAGAAACTCTTTGTGTAGTTACAAGAATTGATCTATGATGGTACTTGATTAATACAAAAAACATCCCCCTCTATCATGTTCAGCTATCTTAGAAACCTATACGGGCTATGTGAAAACACTATATTTATATCACTGTTATTGTACATATCGACTTTGTCACCCTAGATAAACCTTCATTTATTCATTCATTTATTCCTTTCTTCACTCACCTATCCAGGTGCTGGTGATGGGCAAGCCTGGCCCCCCCCATGGGTCTGCAGGTACAGGAGACGACCCCCGAGACTTGCACCGTCTCCTGGCAACCACCGGAGGACGGCGGAGGAGCGGGCGTCACCAATTACGTCATCGAGAAGATGGACCTCAAGACCAAGAACTGGAAGAAGGTACACTGATGTTCTCTGTTTCTTTACTCAGTCTGATTAACCTTTGTACATGTAGATATGTGTGCTTTCTTTACTCAATCTGATTGAACTTTTGTAATGTGTTTGGCTAAAATTTCAATCTTACATGTACATCTTTTTCATCTTGTAGCAGTACAAGTTGCTATGGTGTTGTCTTACCATAGGAACTACCCTATCTCCTTAACATATCTATGACTCGTGTCTTTGGCATGTTCAATCGGTTTTTCCTGTTGCTCACATATATAATTCACAAGTTCTGTTAGTTCATTAGTGTTGCTGAAGAAGAGTGATGGATGTCACTCGAAACATCTGGAAATCTCCGTAATTTATCTTGATTCGTTTCTTCTCTCATCTTGTTTGCTTTCTTTAATTCTCCAGGTTTCTGGAGCTGTGAGGAAGACCACCTTCAAGATTCCGAAGCTGATTCCGTTTAACGAGTACCAGTTCCGCGTCAGCGCGCAGAACATGTTCGGAGTGGGCGATCTGGCTACAACCGGCAATGTGCTCGCCCGCCATCCATTTGGTACGTCGAGCTATAGACTTCTTTTTCCTATACAATTACAAATGATCTTTATGAGGTTTATGAGGTGAGGAGGAAATTAAAGTGCATGTCAAGTTTAAGGGGCTGGCAGTAGCTAGTAGAATCTTGAAATTGAAGCATTAGCAAGGTTTTTATACTCTAATCAGGACCAACTAATAAATAAAAGTATACTTAACTTTTCACTTGAAATTGAATGTTTCATTTTATTTATCTATTTTACCATTAGATCACACTCAGGTCTTTGACCTGCTGCTTTTAAGGCGTCCCTGGCACCTCCTTCAAAGCAGACACAAGAGTAGAACAACTTACACAACTTAACTGATTTTACTTCTCCACAGACACCCCCGGGCCGCCTGTCCATGTGCAGGTCCGCGAGATCACCAGGGAGAGCCTGAAGCTGCTCTGGTCCCTGCCCGAGAACGACGGCGGCTCCGAGATCGTCGGCTTCCTGGTGGAGAGGAAGGAGAAGACCAGCGTCCGCTGGGAGCGCCTAAACAAGGTAGTGTGTAGTACCTGTAGTGTTTGTTGTACCTGTTGCATTCTTAATCCAGTGGTTAGCGACCCTGCCTCTGGATTAAGAGGTTGGGAGTTCGAATCCCGACTGTTGTCGCTCGCCTGACATACACGCTACAAAAATAATCCTAAGGCCTGTGTTTTTCTCTAAGGGAATGTTTTGTAGTTGACATTATTTGTATTACTAGAGGCAGGCGGTTGTAGGCGTGGTAGCGCAGCTTGAGCAGCTATCAGGCAGGTGGATTTATTGCCAGGCGATTCAGGAGGTATGATAACACGGGTTGCGAGAGGTCCGGCTGCTCCCAACCAAATGTAGGGATGCAAGAGAAGAGGCGATGGGAGAGACATTGTACTCTGTGGTGGCATGGATAGTTACTGTTTTCCGCTAGAATACATTGCTACAAAACTGATTTTCTCTGATCCGAATCAAAAGTAATCCTGCTGCACGTCCTTCAGATATTCCAGCTATACTTAGTAAATGCGCAGTTGATTGACTGATAGGGGTGAATATTCTGTAGTATGTTTAGATACATTGTGCATCCAGAGTGTACCTAAGTCAGTAAGTGTGCTTGAAAGGGCTGTGCTGATGCTTGTGTATTGTGCTTACAAATCTTAGATTGCTACTGGCCTGAGCATTGATTAGTTATGGTCCCACCCACATGATTGTTAAAACAAACAAACAAATCCTTAAGGCTGGCCCACACTCCTAGAAAATCTTCATTAGTCACACCAGGGCTCCTACCAAATCTGGCACACATGTACATGCTTGGTATGTATCTGCCTGCTAAGTACCTTCATGACAGGTGTCCTGTCCCTGTGTAACACTAACTCTCATTGGAGCTTCTCCCAGCAGCAGGAGTCAGGCTATCCTACCAAACCCAACTTTGACACCCAGTCAAGCAACCCCCAAGTTGGCATAATTACATTTATAGGTCATACAGAAAGAGAAGAAGTGTTTTATAGCAGTTGACTCATGATTAGGTATTTAGGCAGACCCATCTGAAACTTGATAGTCAATAGTTCAAAATGTAGTTTGGATATAAACCACATAACACAGAACAGTCATCATCAAACATGCAGATATCCCTAGTTGTTTAGTACTGCTCTAGAATTAGTAGAAATATACTTGGTGCCCAACCTCAGCACTTATATATGTATACAAAAATGTAGCGGACGAAAGCTACAAAGGCTGATACTCGGGCTAGTAACCAGCAGTATTCAGTTGAATGAACCATAAGGGAAATTCCATTGACACACGGGGACGAAGATTTCTGCAGAAATCTGCAGAATTCTTTCTGTGCAGAAATCTAACTTTTTAAAAAGATTTCATACTGTGAAATTGTCCCACAAGATGTATCATTATGGTGATAAGTTGAAGATTCACTCCCCTAAATGCTACTATCACTAGTATCAGCAGTTGTTTTAGGTAGAAATGTCGGAAATGCCTATATTTTTGCTTTTGTTCCACTTTATGACAGCCCAATACCTTACAATTTGGCATGGGGATAGCTTTGCATAAATATTATGCTAAGATTTTGCTTTCAAAGTTTTTTATTCAAGTCTTGCAAATGGTTTTATACTTTGGGTTAAAATACTTTTATATTTTGGGTTAAAATAGTAAAAAATCTGTCCAATGATTTTGGATTTGGTCAGACATGTTCTCTGTATGTTGTGCCCATGACCATGACCATGACATGCACACCCTCAAATTGTGCTTTTCTCTGACACCAGTAGGTTACATGTATACTCTAAAGGAAAAGACACCTTTTCATAGGAGATCATGCCAAAGCCAGTAGGGGCCAAGAGAGGCCAGGCTGTGGAGGGCCAAGGCAGGATAGACTTGCAAGTACATGTGTGAGGGCCTGCATGGGTGTGTAGTGATTACGAATTGTGCAAATTTTCTCCGCCGACTACGAATTATGTCAAAGTTTCAGAGCTGATTATGACTTTACACTTTGCAGCTAGTGTATTATTGTGAATTACATTTTTGGGGAGGCTGCCTACGGATTATTGAGACTAAAAAGGCCTGATTATGCCTTACAATAAAGGGCATGCAGGCCCTCATGTATTTAGGTCATCTCTTGGACCATCCAACTGAGGAAAAACGATTAGTTCTGCGTGCCAGTATCACACCTTCCTCTGATCCTGTTCATAACATTGAATACTCATTGCTCATCAAAGCTTTCTGGAACTGCACATAACAAAAATACATGTATGTGAAGAGTGAAAACTTTGCACAAGGTGGCTGGCTAACTTATTAATGATAGCTGAGCAAAGCTTCTGTAACATCCAAACTGTGATGTACACAATTGTGACCTGGAGGTCTGACCTCTGGCTCCCCCTGTCCCAGTGAGGGCTAACCAGGAGGTCAATAGAGGAGGCAAGGCAGATGTTTTTTCAGGGATGAAGTTACATCTTGTTTGATCCCATATTTGGGTCTGAGAATCCAGTTCAAATCATCCTTACTAATTTATGATGTCAAACCTGGAAGTGGAACCTACGTGTACCACACAAGTTACAAATCTATTTTGACAAAAGGATAATCATGGAGGTAGAAAAATACCTCCATGAGAAAATCAATGCAAAACTCCTACAGGAGGTATAGCAATTGTACCAGGTCTGTTGAGTTGGACTGGGGAAAATATTAGAGCCCTAAAGACAGCCTGACCTAAGCACCATAGACTGGTTACCAGAGATGTCATGTTATAAGATGTACATGTAGAATTGTACTTTCCATCATGCTCTCATTATAAAAGGTTTTTGTCTAACCACCTACATGACTTTGTACATGTACATGTAGCCCAATTATAAACCCAGCATTAAGTCCACATCAGAACTCCCCCTAACAACTTTGAACAAGGAGAGCAAAATATAGGGGGGATTTCAGTGTTGTATTTCAAACCCTGGTCTGCAGAGCAAGGTGAATGTTTTATTTCAATCAGTGTGGGTCCCAGGGAGAGAAAAAAACAGGCCAGGCTGGGTCATCTGGTCTACCAGAATGGATCAGTGCAACACTGTAGGTCTTGCTTCAGTGTCTCACCTATATGTACAGGCTAGGGCTCGATGCTGGGTGCATGTGCACCTTGGAGCTGCATGTGCACCCAAATTTTATGTGGGTGCATTCAGTTATTATTTGTACTCAAATATTTTCTCTTAATGTACATACATGTATATAGTAGTTACAACATAAATAATCCAATCATCGTTACAGTACTTTTCTTGAAATGAAACATAATTATAGTTTTTGCAGACATTCTGCTTATTTCATCTTACAATGTATATGGTGCACCTAAAATATTTTTGTTCACCCAATTTTTTTAGGTTGGGTGCACCAGTGTCTATTCCCAAAAATTAATTTCAAGCCCTTATGTATATGCCCTTGTTATAACAGCAGATTTTTCTATTGTACACAGTTTTAACTTGCATCCAATCATGCAGTCATGTGTGAACGTTACTTGACAAGACAATTATTCACTCCTCTCCCTTGTTTTTTTTTTTCACAATTTCCAGAGGAAAAGCTCATTTTCTTGTCTTTAGGTGCTACTTTATTCTTTGGGTATTTGTTATGATCTGGTGGGGAAATGTCTGGCTAACTGTAATTACAATGTAGCTTTTATGTCTCAAGTGAAGAAACTTACAAAGACTAGATACTACTAGTTGTGAGAAAAAGATAATTATCCACAAAATTTACCTTCAGGTCATCACCCCCTCCCCCAAGAAATATGTCCCCCGTCCCCTACCCTCTCTAGATCTACTTTGCTACTCTACATGTACTTGACCTGGCTAGTCAAGGAAAACATAAGGGTCTCGTACGTGCGCATATACATGTATGTGGATCCTGTGCAAAACTGCTCACTATTGAGAGCATAATCTGACTACGCACTCTCTTGTTGTGTTTCCAAGGGCTCTTTTTATGTAACTGAAAATCAGAGGGACCATGTGGGGATTTGATTTAATTGCTAACTCTTCATTGCAGTAGCATATGTTAGCCTAAACCAGAAGTATGGCAATGTCAAGTAAGGTTGCAATGACTGTTGTCATGCATCTGAGACCAGATATCATTTAAGAACCTTGAGTATAGAATTAGCTTTCTTGAGATTACTTTACAAATTGTATGTACACTAGAGACACACTCATAATTGCAAACAATTCCTTCAACAAGATATCATGAAAAGCACTTGGAAGGTACCAAAGACAGGGAATCTGATACTCCTGACCCTTCGGTGACCAGTCAATGGAATGTCAAATTCCCCTTGTGGTTTACTGATGCTGGTTAGTGTTTAGCCTGAGAGAGCCTAGCTGGTTACATTTGTACATGACCTGGTCATTATGCTTTCCTGCATAGCTCAAACCAAACGTCAGTTACATGTATGTCCTAGCCTAGTATCTTCAAATCTGTAATGTGCTTATCTCATCATCACTTTGTGGAGCATTTTTTCACTTCAAAAATCACCTTACAGATCTCAGGCAGAACAAATGGAAATACATCCAGTTCCCTGCCTAACAACTGGCCAAGAAAAGTACAGGGAAAAAGGTTGGGTTACACAGGCTAAAGGTTGTTCTCCTGAGACTATAGAGGTCTTCTCTATGGGCTAGATAGATAAGCTATGAAAACATGTGATAGTGAATACAGTTTGGTGGTCAAGAGGCACTCTCTGGGCCCTTACTGTGAAGACTTTAAAAGCCCTTAGCCGATAAGTGTGGAGGTAGCCTGGGTTCCAGACCCATAGCACACTGGTTACAAATATCTCAGTGAGCCTGGCACACTGAGATATTTTGTGTCCAGTGTGCTTTGGGTCTGGCATCCAGGCTAGTGTGGAGGTGGGGCATAGAAAATTGTTACACAAACGCAGTAGCACCCCAAGCTACATTGTACCTTGGTGATAAGTTCTTCCAAGGGCAGTTGTCCAGGGCCACACAGTCTCACAGTAAATGTAGCAATTCAACTACTAAAATCATGTCCCAAGTTCTAACATTTTTTATTCTTCTTTCTTTCCTCTTGACTAAATAGTGACAAATCAATTGTAGATAACAATCAGATTCTGGTGTTCAAGACCGGTATCATCTTGTATTGACCCACAAAAAGTGCTGACCTACAGCCATCAGCTGAGATGGTCAGACGAGAAAAAGCAAGAAAGATGAGGTTGGGGAATTCGAAGTGGATGGTGCAGCAGCTGCTCCAACCATCATTTTTCTACACAGCCCCAAAATCCCGAGGACATCCAGTCTGGGAGTCTTGAAGAACTTCAAAGTGGGATAGGAGAGACATTTGTAACCAAGGGTTGAAACTTGATTTTAGGGTGTGATCGAGCCATGATATAGTGGCACAGAAGCTGCTGCTAGGCCTATGTAGGCTAGCTGCTAGAAGTTGCTAGGCCTAAAGCAAAAAGCATGTTGCAAAGCTACATGTATCTGAATGCCAAATTGCGGGGCATTGGGTTGTCATGAAGTGGAACAAAAGCCAATAATATGCATTTCCGACAATTTTTACCCAAAATAATCAAAGTTTTAGCCCAGGAAAGCCCCGGTGGTGTTACGGATTAGCACAAGTCCTCCAGGGACGTCCCCAGAGTCGGCCTGGCAGGGCTCACAGAGGTCAGTCTTGGTGACCTACCTAACGGTCCCCGTCTATCCTGTCAATGCAATTTAACCTGGATAGAATTCAAATAAATTATGTAACCTAGTTACTGTGGAACAATCTTCCATTTTTGAGGTGGTAGACTTTATTTGCTGGTTATTTCTCAGGTCCGTGATGCTGTTTGGCTATGTTCGTTTTCTTGTGGGGGGCCACCAGACCATCTGGTTGTGAAAATCTACACTTTCAATGACCTGGCTTCTCTATTTCCTCTCCGCACGACCCATAGAAGGTTCCAGGCATAACCTTTCTCAAAGTCTTCTTCTCCTTTCTCCTCGCTAAAGCCACAAAACTTAAGGATTAGATACTGTTCAAGTCTATAAGGCCTAAAAGAGTTCATTCAGACCACTTTCTCTTCTAGTGAGTGTCAAATTCACCCAGGGCACAGTAAACCAACTTTGTTCTCGATTAAAACAAAGTGTGTGATCTTGTATATATATCTGGTTTAAATCCTGTTGCATTACAAGACGATATACACAATGTACTACACAAGACTACACAAGTGTATATGCTAACGTTGCAAGGAATACAGGAAAAGCCTATGCATTTCTGACAAGTTATGCCCAAAATACATGTAACGTGATTGTAGCATTTGTAGGAGAGTATATATCTACCACTTATCACCATATTGATACATTTTGTGAGACAGTATTGTACGGAATCTTTAAAAAAGCAGATTTCTGCACAGAAATCTGTGGTATGAAACCGTTTCCAGTGTGGATGTACGTTTTGAAATCACGGACGCAGAAATATATTCCGTTTCGAATCGGATCGTGGCCAAACCGGAACACGTTTCAATCATGAACGAGCCTGAGATACATGTATTTACTTTGGGCCCAGTGTGCCATGGGTCTGACATCCAGACTAGTACATGATCGTCCATGGAGGTGTATACAGCTTTGTTTTCTAGATCGTACAGTATACAGTTACAGTACCAGATTAAATCAAATTTTATGATCTTCTATCAGGTTTAAATACTGCTGCACCACGATATGCACAAATAACTACACAAAACTAGAGAGGCCGACATTTGCTTGGGAGCAAATACAGCATATTTCAGTCCATCTCCCTCCCACGCAAAAGTGGACTATTCCAAACTTACCCCAGTGTAAGTGAGGCAAAGATTCTCAAATAAATGAATTATATAGTAGCTTTGTAATTGAGAACAAAGATGCAAGAACAAGCACATTGAATCTCGAAAGCTTTACTAATCTTATTACAGT